CTCAGGAAAATCTCAGGCGGAAGTATGATTAATATTAGCATTATTGACCGAGGATTGTAAAAGGACTAGAATCTCTCAGAATTGTTCTCCTTGTGTTATGCTAAGACACTCCCACTAACAAGTACTCAGACACACCCAGGTCTTTCAAAAATCATATGAGAAAGCAGATGGCTATAAAAATTCAAAGACTAAAATCTGCTTCACCTCCAGTTAGGGGAAAAAAAAAAAAAAAAAGTAGAAATTACTCTACAGATGTTAATAATTGTCTGGGGTGGGAGTCGGGAAAGGGGGAGGCTGGCTTCTAAGTAAACAATACAAAGAAAGACAAAGAGGTCCCTGCTGATGTAAAACAATAAAAGCAGTTTTCTCAGCAGTGTCAGCTTAGCAAGCCTGAGGGTCTGTATTTTAAACCCCAGCGGCCTGACGTCACTCACCCTGATGGTGTGTGTGAAGGAAGCTATCTCTCTGCGATGAGCGACCTGAAAAGTGTTTTCAAAGCCCAGTGGGCTAATGTCACTCATACCGAGGGTGGATGGTGGGATCTCTCAGGGTGGCAGCCTGAGGGAAGCGAGCTGCAACACCAGCAGCCTACCATCACTCACTCTGATGGCAGGGGGTCAGCTGGGATTCTTTGGTGGCCTCCCGGGCAATAGTTAAAAAGAAGATTTTGGTTCACATGTCAATGTCTAGCTTGAAAGCAGGGAGTATAAAAAGTGATTTTTTTTCTTTTTTTTTTTTTTTAATTGTAGTTCACAAGTGGCAGCAGTGCAGTCAGGAAGGGGAGTTTCCCTGCGAGGCTGTTTGATTGCATGTGAAGCTTACAATGGAGCTGGTGTTGCCTGGTTTTAATTTTTTTCTCCTGTATGAGCTGAGATGTTTTATTCCCCCATACGAAACAGAGGGGAAAATTAAATCCAGACAACTATGACTGCACTTTACATTTCATATGCAATCAAACAGACTATACAGAGAATATTGTCATCTTCCTTACCAACCTGGCTGCTATATAGAGAATGTAAGCAAATACTAAAATTCCCAAATATTGTGCTCTTACGATCACATGGTCACTCATCTTTTGATGCAGAAATTGACACTTGGGACTAAATCTGTTAAATTTATCCTGGGTCTGAAAGCACAGTGGGGTTTGAAAATGAATACATAAGAGAAACAGTCTTTGTCCCAGTGCAAATACTCAGTGCAAATATTCAAAAAAACCTGTAAGCATAACTGCAACCAATATTTCATCAGAGTAAGCTCTCATGTTGCCAAAACGTTTTTAAAACTAAGAACTGATGGTCAAAAAAACTAAGTTCCAGTTAGTTAATGTGAATAACTTAGTGCACTTAAAGCTACTGTCATGCTTAGTTACATGAAAGATCAGAAGGCCAGAGTCATCCAACACTAAAATGATTGTTTCTGAACATAAAGGCAATAAAACCAACAACATGGAACTGAGAACACATGTAGCTGTAACCAGTATGATTAGTTTGCTTGTGTGTTATACCCCCTTTGTACCATTTTTTTTGCTACATAAAGCTTTCATAATCTTAAAGAATGATGCTATTGTTTCCTCTATAGTTCCTCCAAGCCACCCAGAAAAAAAACAATTCGAAACAACAATTCATTAAGAAATATCTCTAGATTTCTCACTTCTAACTGCAGTTTATTTGAGATTATCACAGTCTATGAATTTATTTCCTTTGGCATGGAATAAAGCTCTACAGCCTTAGTTTTACAGAAAAAAAAAAAAAAAAGGTTTTCTTCTTAGATTCTCACAACGTGTGCTGCTCACATATGTCAGGAGAAAATATGACTCTAACCCTGCATAGTTAAGCTAATAAGCTTTCTCATAGAGTGAGACAATAGGAACTGTGAGCATACTGTACAGCACAATAAGTGCTGGCACATAAACTGTTTCAGTCTTGAGGGACAGTGTTTCACAGTATATCAGTGACAGAAGACCAGCTTGCAGCCAGAATTATGAATGAAAAGTTTAAGCCTTCATGAAAGTATGGACTTCGGATGATTCTTTTGTGGTCACCTCAAAAATTGACTTACTCTATTATTTAGAAGAACATTTAGAAAGGCATTTAATGTTTTATTTTCTAGGACTGCGCATATGCACACAAATTGATCAGTTTAACCTAAGATGCAGCAATTCAGTAGATACAAATACATTATATATATGAATACATTACACAAAGCCAACCAGATAAAACAGTAAACACCCAACTTAAAACTATGAAGGAGTATCTTAGAGGTTTATTTGTAAGTCTGTTAAAAGTGGGAAAGAGAAAAACTCCTATCTCTCGCCCTTTCTCAGGGACCAGACTGCAAGGGGACTGTTGGTGCATATTAATTTCACAGTAAACTGTGTACTTGGAATTGCCACACATGCTGTCTCTGGAGAGCTATGGATATTTGTCTAGAAATAGTCTCTTGTGTTTGTGACTACTATACAATAATACTTCAGCAACAAATGCTATGGTTACATTTATATTAGTAAATAAACAGTCAAGGACCCTTTTGTACCCCTGATGTAGCTCAGCTTACGTGGCAGAGCTCACATCCACAGAACTGAACTCTTTCTCTTCTTCTCCCCTGCTCCAAAAACACAATCCAAAACCCAGACTGGCCTCATCCACACTGCTTATTAGGAACAGTCCCCAGTCCATGCTGGTTCCCAGACTGTACTCAGACATTGTTTGGGACGGTGCTAATTGGCCTGGGCAGAAACCTTTCCAGGGTCTGTGCTAGCAATTAGCAGCACGTTCACTTGCGCACATGCTCAAGCCCATCAGGCACTGTGATCTAGCACAAGACAGTCCTGTTTCTGCAGCTGCCAAAGGCAGCTCCTGATTTTGGCACCTTCCTCTAACGGATTCAGTTAATAGAGTGACAGCTCTAAGCTCCAGCTGCCCTGTACTACCCTGTCCTTTCCCCATCACCAAAAGGAGAGGTAGCAGGAAGAGCAGGAGTTCAAAGAAGTGAGCCGTAGGAAGCATCCATGTGAGGACAAAACTGCTGCTTCCATCTCTGACAGTGAAAGAAGACAGCAGATGCAAAAACCCTGAAACCTGAATCTACCCTGAAGGCCTTCAGATGAGCTCTGGTTATCTGAAAACTGACAGAGAGTAGACAGACTCAAACAGCTTGCCCCAGTTTACATTTGGACCCTGAAGAACAACTGGCCTCACCAAACCACTCTTCAGCAGCTGATGTCTTTGAACAGCTTAAATCTCCCTCTGCTTGCAGGATAAGACAGATTTCTCCCAGCTGAGCCACCACAAAAGGTACAAGTTTAGATTAGCCAAAGTGAATCTGAGTTGGTATGTTGGCCTCCCATGACCTGCCATCATTCAGGCCACTGCAAGGGAGGGATAAAAATCATTGGGTTTCTGAGGTGCAGATGTTGTTACTCTGTCTGCATGTGAATGAAGGTTCAGAATGAGAGAGAACATGCATGACTACATACATAAATAATGCAGATGGAAAAACAAAAACAAAAACTTTGGGGAACACAGTTCTACAAAGTCTTCTCTCAAAATACTTGAAGAAAAACTAACAAATGCAAAGGTTCGTCATATTTTCCCTCCTGTACACTTCCTTATAGGTCATGTTCATTTCATCACTGCTACAAGATTATTCCTGCTGTCTGCCTTACTACATCTGACTTTGATGTAGAGTCCACTAATGATGAAAAAATTCCATTTAAATACTCCTGTCCCAAAACTACCCAAAGGGGTAAACTACTTTCCTTACTTTGTTTGTACAATGCTGCCCAGAACAATTTTTCACTTTTCTTCTTTTTCTGCATAACTGCTGTTGTTTCGAAAAATATTATACTTTTTCATTTCTCCATAATTCAGTCATATTTGACGGGAAGAAAGTGTAGAAAATTACATATTTGAGTGAGAAGTACTAACAGAATGATTTACAACAGAAAATGTTTTGCAACCTTTCCCTAATACAAAGACTATGAAATAGTGGCTCCAGGTCTGACATTTAATTAGGATTATATAATACAAGCATGTGGCTTGTTTGTTCTCATTGGAAATTAATGTTCTGTTGATTTGATAACTGCAGAAGAAATTTGTTAAAAGTCTGTTTAACTTTTCACTAAAACCATCATTCTTCTGTCTTACTTTATTTGAGACAGGGAAACACTGAGTTCACTTGCTTGTAGAATTTCTGTATCTCATTCTGTGCTGTCAAAATAGAAAACAAGGCTGGCTTCTCCCAGAACAGCTCACAAACTATTAGTTTTAAAACTAACACCTCCTCCTGCAGGAAATTCATAACTTTTTGTTTAATGCTTCTAGGTATTTTTCCTGTGTTTCTGTAAGATCGAAGCTGAAACTTTAGATAAGCTTTACTATTTTTTTCCCCCAAACCATACCAGATTTCAGTATTAAATATATATAATATTAAGAATGCAGACTTTTTTCCCCCAGAACCAAAAACTTTTCAGTCCCTCATGGTATTACAAATCCCACTCCAGCACTGTGTTTCCAAAAGCTCTAGGTCATCTGAGGTTTTGGCACTGAACATAACAGTATCTGACTCTTCCTTTAGAGCAATCTGTCTTCTTCAGCTATGAATTCAGGACATAAGTGCTGTTACCAACTTGCCTTTTATAGCTAGTACATTAAAAATATGACTTTAAGAGAATAGGAATCTTGCTGTTCATCTGCAAGAGATGAAGTAGTTTAAAATCACAACAGAGCTTCTATAAGTACAGCATATGTCAAATGCTTGTTTACCCTAGTGAACCAAGAATGCAGTTTAGACAGTAACTAGAACATGTTTTATAGCATGCTAGAAGATACACCAGAGCTCAGCTTTGGTTGCAGGGCACACGCCGTTTTGACTGGAAATGGAATGAGACAGAGCAGCGCCAAAGTTACCAGAGCCACAGCTGGGGCAGGTTCACGCACTTGTGCAGGACGCAGGGCCCCAGCCTTTGGGGCACCGCGGCGGCGAGAGGCCGCGGCGGCTCCCGACCCCGATGGGCAATGCGCAGTTCGGGCTGCCACGCCGCCGGGCCCGGCCCGCCGCCGTTACGTCAGAGCAGCCCCGGGGCACAGCGCCCGCCGCGCCCTGCCCCCTCTTTCTCTCCCGCTTGCCTTCGCGTTTCCTGTCTGGGCGGAGGAGGTTTGGCCCAGCGACGACGCCGTCCCCCAGCGGCTGCGGCGAGCGTCATGGCGGCGGCTCTCTCAATGTCAGCGGCTCTGAGGCACCTTGCGGCGGGCGGCGGCGCCGCCGCGGTCCGTCTGTCGCCGGCCAGGTAATGAGCACCGCGGGCGCTCGCCGGCCGGCAGCGCGGCCGCCCCGCACCGACGGGCCCGCGGGGAGGCCGCGCCGCTCCGCTCCGCTCGAGGAGGCTGAGCCGGGCCTAGCGCTTCGCCGCGGCCGCCTCGGGAGCTGGGCTGACGGCACGGCGCAGGGCCCCTCCGCGAGCGGGGGACGGCCGGGCTGCGAGCGGGCGGCCGGCACAGGCCTTCCTGTGGGAAGGCCTTCCTCGGCCTGCGCCTGTCCTTCCGCGCCGTGACCGCCCGCCCCGCGTCCTTGCGGCGCCCGGGGGCCGCAGCTCCTGGAAGCCGCTGTGCCGGCTTCCCGCAGGCTTCTCTCCCATCGCCCTGCTGCTCTGAGGCTTCTCAACACGAGGCCTTTGATGTTTTCCCAGGTGATACGTAGCTGATTTTTCACTGGTGCTTCACTGTCATCCATGAAGTAATGCTGGAAACAGCTTCATTTTTTTTGCTGGCACTTTGGTGTTTTTGTTGTTGTTTTTTTTTTTCTTTGAAGTGGAGACGTTATCGAGGACTTAATGCATTGCTCAGCTTGTAGTTGGAGAGTTGTGCGTGTCTTCTGTGCATGTCCCAAGGTTTTGTAACACCATTTCTGATCGGGAAAACAAATGAAGTTCACTGCTGTTTACCATGAAAGGTTTGCTTTCCTGGTTAGAGAAAGTTACAATTATTTAAAATATCTGCATGTGTTTTCTACGTGCAGAGAAATTATTTAAATCTACGCACAGGAAACTGCATTCACGTACATGAAGAGATAAAAATAACTGTAGACATACTACTTTATTTTTACCCTTTTTATTATGCCCTGACTGTCCCACTGTTGCTGTTCCCCTTTACAATGACACTGACACCTGTTTTACAGCGCTGAAAATTAACCTTCAGTCTCACAAAAATGCTCTGGAATCATGAATATAAATTTAAGAGCTTGTCTGTGCTAGTGCAGAAACTTCCTGTTTGCATCTGACTGCTTGTTTCTGCCCTTCCTTTCATTCCCTGTAGTGCTGATGCAAAAAGTTTCCTGCACTGTGTGGTATGCTGGAGCAGTCAACTCATCCAGGTTGAGTAGTTTTGTTTGTTTGCTTGAAACACCCAATTTTCTAAGCAGTTATTCCAGAACAAATAGTAGGATGTAACAGAGGTGGAAATGAACAGCATTGAGATGTGTGGTAGAGACTCTGAAGTTGTCATTTCTTCTGGAATAAGATCTGCCCTAGGTTTCTGCCCTGCCACAGGGGAGTTACAGTATTAGGGTACCTTAATTTTTTATTTTTATTTTTATTTTACTAAGAGGGATCTTGGAGATATATTCCTCAGGAGAAGTTGAATATATGTTTCACATTCCACAGGAAAGTAGCCTGATTGTAAATCTCTAAGGTTTTTGGAGAAGAGGAAGGGAGAGGCACTGCAAGTCTCTTTTACTGAGTTTAACACAGTTTTACAATCATTGTATGCTAGAAGACTGAGAAAAAAATTTTCCTTGGAACCAGGAGACCTGGAGTACTGTGTCTAGTTCTGGGCTCCCTAGTACAAGAGAAACTTGAAGCTACTAAAAAGAGTCTAGCAAAAGGTCAAGAAGATGAGAAAGGAACTGCAGCTTCACTTTTCTCCTTTATGGAAAGGCTGAGAGAACTGAGACCATTCAGTGTGGAGACGAGAATTTAGCTTGGGGGAGGTTCTCATCATTATATAGAACTGTCTAAAGGCTGAATAAAAGAAGATCGAGCAAGGTTCTTCAGTAGTGCCAGCAGAAGAGGCAGTGGGTACAAAGTAGATCACCATAAGTTCCCCCTGAACACCAAGCAGCACTCTATTCTGTGTGGGTGATGGAGCACTGGCACAGGCTACCTAGAGAGGTTGTGGAGCCTGCTTCTTGGTGGTCTTCAAAAGCCGTGTGGATGTGGTTCGGACATCCTGCTCTGCATGTCCCTACTGCAGCTGCTGTTGGGCTATGTGGACCAGAGGTACCTGCCAACCTCAGCCATTCTAGGATTCATTGTAATGTTGAAATTACAGATTCATGTTGTTAGCTGAAATCATGGGAGTAATACAGTTTATTGTTTGCTCACTGTAGGATTAAAGTTTAAAATTTAAAGCATCAGTTTTATTTGAAGTGGTTTTTGCTTTTTTATTAGTTTTTTACTTGCACAAATTCCAATAGTTCCACGCTTTTTGGAACTGCCGTTACAGAGTAAGATAGCTGCCTTCTGATTTTGAAACCAGTTCCCAGGAGAATCTTCCAATACTGCCAAGAGATTCTGTTCTAATTTCCATGAGTTATATTTGTTTCTCACAAATGCATAGCACGTCTTCCTCTAACACCAAGTTTAAATGTATCAATTTGATGATTAAGCACTTCGGAATTTGCATGTCCTAGTGGCTTGGTGATTCTGAACTCGTGATTAGTAACACGACTGGGAAATAATTGTTCAGCCCTAAGTTAAGAGTACATGCACCATTTCTGATATCCTTAGGAAATGATGCATGTCTAGCTGAAATCAGTGAAGCAGCAGTTACTGAGTCTAGCTAAAATCACTGAAGCAGCTGTTACTGAGTCCATCCTTCCGTCTCACGGCGAGCCTAATAGACCATTAGCAGCTGGGATTGCAGTTTTGAAGCTTTCACAATGTAAGATCTACTGTTTCATGATCTTAAAGTTATGTTGAGTGTGTTTGAATTTGATCTCAGTGGGAAGGATGTACCTTATGTGTCTGCCTTTCCGAATTACGTAAAGTTTGACCACTCAGTTACTGTCAGCCAGAATTTGTTTTAAGGGTGTAACTTAAATGGTACAATTTCATGTGAATAGGAGGGGAAAACAAAGGAGGTACTCTCTTAAATGTCATTGACTTGGGAAGGATCATAGTTTTCCCCTGAATTAGAGAATGTGGGTAGGTTGAGCTTGGAAAAAACTTTAAATGCTCTGTAGTTGAAGAACAAATGAATTTATTCTAAATTGAGAATCTGCTATTCATGCCAAAATCACTTGGAATTTCAGGGTCCCTTTGTCTCAAGATATTGCAGTTATGATACAAAAAGAATCATTTGTGTTGCAGAAGCAGAATGTTTTGTATGTGCAGGTGTAATATCTGGCTATACAGTCCATACATTTTATAATAATGGATTGTTCTTATCACTTTTCAGTGAGAGATAATGGTTCTTTAAAATTTATTGCCTGTTTCTTGTAATTGTGTTGTAGAGACTAAGGCTGATCAGAAATGTTCTGCTAATTCATCATAATAGACACCTGAAGTTAGCAGAGTGAGGAATTAAGGATATTTGTGTAGTAAAAAGCCTGCTACTCAGTTCATGCCATATGCTCAAGAGAATGAGGAAATCTGGGATGCCATTTAAATATTACTTTTCCATTTGCATATGCAAAGTTGGCAAGAGGTTTGCTCAAAACAGAAAAAGAGGGGGAAGCCATTTTTGTGGAAAAATAAAGGACTTCTAAATGCAGAAGAAGCGTAGCACATTGTTCAGTTGCTATCTTGCTTTTTCAGCAGTAACACAGAAAATGTTTCATCTTTTGTTTTTGTTTACATTTATTGTGAATAACTTTTTCATACCAGTGTTTTTTTTCTCTTAATAATTTGTTTTCTTCAAAATAATATTGCCTTTTGTTGAATATTTTGTTGGATGTGGCTTAGTAGACTTCCCAGTGGTAGATCCAGGTTGATCAGATAGCTGGATAAAGATTCACAAACCTTTGGCTGTATGTAGCTAATAAAAACACTGCTTAATCGGTGTCAGTGCTAGCCTAAGTGCCTTTAAAAAAAAAAATAAAATCTTGAGTAGTAACACATTACAGAAGTTGTCTTACTTATTATTTCATCCACCTGTTGTGCATGTTAGCCACATTCTCACATATGCCATACGAGATAATGGAAATGTTGTGTTCTCACTTGGAAACACATCAGAAGCTCTGATTTTTTTTCAAATAAAAAAATAGTACTCAACATTTAATTTTGTCAAAATTGATTCCAGTGGATGACTGCATCTACAGAGGCTACCTGAGTTAAAATTTCAGGATAAGAAAAGTATACAAAGTTGGTGGGGATCTTGCCTTTACTGTGTAAGTTGTATTTTGGTTGTTTAGAGGGGAAATAAGCCTTTTAAAATACATATTTAATACATATTTATTTATTGGATTTAACTTGGATTTTAGAATTCAATTTTGAATTTCTATTTTGTTTTTAATGAGTATCAGAGAAAATATGGTGAATCAAACTATATTACTACACATTAGTACAGCTGTAAACTGAAATGCTGAATGAATTTCTTAGATTTTAGTGGAGGTTTGGAGCAGACTTGAGGTGAAACATCTGGAGAGACAAATATGTAAGGGGGATAAAAAATGAAAAACACTGTTATTTGTACGGTTAATGAATATCAGTTTAAAAACAAAACTGTAAGCAGCAGCGAGTCTTTGTCTGATCTTGCAGACAGCTAGAACAGTAATGTAGGAGAAGTAAATGCTGCATATAACTAAGTGCATACTTCATTAAAAACCCATCCGTTTTGACTGTTCACACTACTCAAACAATAACCGTGTTTGGATACAAGGATCTGTAGTAGCCAAATCTTGCATATTCACCATGATTGAAAGCATCACCTGTGGTTATATTTTTATAATAACTTGTCTCTTAATGATGTTTTGGTCTCTGTTTATTGTGAAGAAGGAACTCTTGCCCTATTAGTTTTGCGTGCTTTAAAAGACAGAGAAGATTTCTGACAAATAGGGTAATTTGAGTTTTATTATAGTGCATTTTATACAACATCAAAATTAATAATCCTTACTTGCTTGTGTCCTGAAGGAGCTGATGAGCCAGCATGACTGGTCTATCATTTGTGGATATTCATATCCATGCTAGGTTAGAGCAACTCCTGTGAGCCAAAGTTGTGTTTTTTATTTCCCACTTTAAGCAGTATGGAGAGCAAGGTGGGCTATTCCTTGTTTCTTTTAGCAGAGAAGGAG